GTGCCATCTCATTGCCCTTTGAGATTGCCTTAGGTGACCTGGTAGTCTGGTTTTGAGACTTGTTTATGTGTCTTCTCATTTCAACAGATGCAGCCTGCTGTGCCTTTGTTGAGGCATCTTTTTGCTCACCCAGTGCTCTTCATTTCTCAGCAAGCCACCAAGCAGCGTTTTCTATACTGCTCACCAGTACACCAATTCCTGGGTTCAGAATGGTGGCCTTCTGGATCCCTGAGCTGACCTGTTGTCTGGGCAGGCTTCTGTCTGGGGCCTGTGCACAGTTGGGATTGTATCTATGCATGCCTCTGGCTAGGGCCTGACCCCATATGTAGCTGTTGTCTTGGAGGGCCTTTGGCTGGGGGCTGTGCACCCCAGTCCCTGGTGTTTGAGCAGACTTCTGGCTAGGTCTGTGTGTACTTACCCATGGTATTGATGTGAGCCACTGGCTGTTGCTTTTGTGCCTGAAGCAATCTCAGTCTTGAAATACTATGAAGGACACCTGAGTAGAACAATCACATTGCCTTGGCCACAGTAATATAATCAGCATCAACAATAGCATCAAACACAGTTTAGAAAATGACAAATTGTGGTAGCTATTAATTTGACATGTTTAACTGCACGGACTAGACTTGCAATTATATGTCAAAATCAAGGACCAACCAGAAATATGTTTACAGTAAATAAGCCCTTCAGTGTTGCAGCTTTACCCTCCAGGAAGAAGACTTAGAAGGATTTGGAGGAGGGTAGAGAGATAGAGGGAGAAGGAGAGATTAGACATAAGGCTAGAGGACACAGAAAGATCACAAAAACTTTGGGAAACTGGTGCAGACAGGAGGCAAAGAGAGAAGGTAGAAAAAAAACAAGAACAGCAACAGGAAAACTGGAAACTGTATTCACACTCCTGTAACAATAAAAGCAATCAAGAAAAAACAGAATAGGACAAAAACAGGAACAAGGAGAGAAATGGAGAAGAAAAGAGAAGTAAAAGATAAAAAGAACTAGAAAACAAAAAAAGTGCCCTTGGAGGCGTGTCTCTGCTATTGCTGGTATACATTGTGGGGAGCAGCATGAAGAACCAAGTTGATTAATCTCAGTAAACCAGCCATAGTCCACTGAGATTCAGATCCACTGAGATTCTGTGGGGCCAGAATTGAGCTCCCTGACCTCCTGCAAGTTAGAAACGCACTTAGTTCTACTGCAGGTTTTGAGCCACCCTTCCCCTGTACAAAGTCCAGTTTGGTAGGAGGTGCTGGTCTCAACCACTCACCAACTGCTGTAGTCTGCACCATTTTCAACCTCCCAGTGGGCTTAAGTTTTCAATAACAAGCCTTGGAAAGGCCGGCTGTCTGCTGCTCACAACTGCATCATCTTCCTGAGCTCATAGTAATGGCCTTTCTGGCCCTGGTGCCTCTGCTACATGGATCTGGATCCCTGTGCAGGGCGCAGGATGTCCCACATCTTGCAGTATCCAGGGCCCCATATATTTGTAAGCAAAATGGTCCCTGGAGCCAGAAAAATATCTCAGTTCATTCTCTGCCTATTTTCTATATATTTATAGGTAAAACAACCTTAAGACATAATTCAAAGTTAAAGAGATATGCTCAGCTCCCTCAATAAGCTTGTAATTTAATAGGGAGCTAAGTCAAGGGTACCTGGTGGAAAGTGCCTTAAGAAGCTCCCAGTGTGGGTCAGCTGTGCAGAGGCAAGGAAATGACTTCTGCTGGGCACAGAGAAGCTCTGTGGTGGTGGGAGCTTTGTCTTCTAAGGCTGAGTAGAATTGTGATGACTAGATGTGAGACAAGTCATTTGGACAGAAAGATGAACAAAAGCAGTAAGGCAAAGAAATGAGTTCTACCCAAGGAAGCAGCAAAAAAAGGAAGACAAAGGCCTCCAGGGACAGATCACAAGAATCTTGAAAGCTTTAATGTTCTGCTTATTCTTGGAACCAAGAACCCTGATTTGTCACTAGGTAGCTTAGGAGGGAAAGACCTAAAGAGTCTTCACACCTCCACCCATGTACAAGGGATGGTGGGGAGAAAGGGTAATAAAAGCAGTGATCCAAAGGTGCTGGAAGGAGGGGCACTGGGCTCACAGGGGTGGAGTTGGGAATAGAAGGAGGCAGAAGCATGACCAAGTGAAAATAAGATTATACTTCAGAGTAAGCCTTCAGTTCAAATCTTGGACTAAAAAGTTATTAATGGCAAAGATGGCAAATAATTTAAAAACTCTGAGCCCTCATCTTCTTTGTGTGACAAATGTGCATATTATGAATGGACTAAAGAGGATGGGATGACAGACATAGGTAGACTCTAGACTGCCCTCACAGGGCAATGTAAGTGTCTTCCTCAGGTCATCTCTAAAGTCTCATGTGAAACCAAGGTCTGTAAAATAATTTTGAGACTCTTCCCTCCAAAAATAAGTTATTCACATAACTGAATTTAAAATATATAACAAACATAGTTCTGGACAAGTAATATAATTTTAGGTATAAATAAATACATTGAGACAAAATAGATTTCTCTAGTGCAGAAGCTTCTCTAGGAATTACTCAAATGTTTTTGGAAGGTAAATTAACCATTCCTCTGATTTGCCATTTAGGGATTAAGACTATCTGTTTAGAAATGTTATTTTTCTTTCAGATCTAAAATGGCCCCTCCAGTTCCTCTTTCCTATCACCAAGTGGCTTTGTGAGAATAAAGAGGTCTGAGTCAAGGTTTCACTTGGTGCAGTATGTCTTTCTGCTAAAGTGACTCCTGGTAATACCTGAAAGTATGAATGCACATTTAAAAATGTCCAAATGGATCTTGAGGCCATAATGTTAAGTGAAATAAGTCAGACACAGAAGGTTAAATGGTTTCTCTTATATGGGCACCCAAAATATAAATAAAGAGTAAAATAAAGGAGAGATGGTAAGAAACAGGAAGATGTTTTAGAGATGGGGAAAGTGATAAGGGGACAGAAGGAGAGGGGAGGGGAGAAATGAGATTGAAAATGATCGAGAGGATGTGTATGTGTTTGCATGTGCACATGTGCATGTATGTGCCAATTCCCCAAAAGAAATATATACCAATAAAATAAATACAAAAACCAAAAACATCCATCACGCTTCCAGTTAGAAATAGCCTAGGTTGTGGTACCTTCCTTTTTGTCCTGTATTAGGTCAGATTTTTGTTGCTGTGATCAAATACTTGAGAAAAACAACTTAGAAGAGGAAATGTGTATTTTGGCTCACAGTTTGAGAGATTTTAGTCCATGGTCCAGTGGTTCCATTGCTGTGGGCCTGAGGTGAGGCAGAACCTAACAGCAGAAGGGCATGGTGGAACAAAGCTGTTCATCTCATGGCAGCTGAAAAGCAGAGAATGAGGGACAGAGCCAGAGACAGCAAGAGAGAGAGGAAGGGCTGGGACAAGATACACTCTTCAGAGGTACATCCACAGTCACCTACTTCCCCCAATTGGGTCCTACCTCCTAATAGCCTACTCATCTGTGAACTCATCCATGGCTTACCATGATGGGGTTAGTGCCCTCATGATCTAATCACCTCTCTAGGCCTCATCTCTACAGATTGGTGCATTGGAGAGTAAGCCCTCAATACATGAGTCTGACACTTCATATTTACACCATAAAACACTGTCCTTACTAAATTTATGTTTTTATAATTAGACACTTTAATGAATTTTTTTCTCATTGCTATTTAGGTAAGCCTCTTAGTTTTTCTATTTTACAATAACATGATCTATAAATGATGTCTTCTGCTTTCTGACTGTCGTGTACTTGTTTGTGACTCCTGGTTTTAGAAATCCGTCAGGATGATGATGGTCGTGGGCATTAGCAGATGGTAGGGAAAGCCTCCAGTGTTTACTGTGACATTTCCATTAAATTTGACTCCCTGGTCAAGTCTTTATTACTACCCCAATCACAATGTATAGGAACTTTTGTGAAAATGTCTTTTTCCACTGAACTCTGAAAACATTAAGACAGTATTTTCTTATTCATCCCTATACTCACAGTATTAGCACTGAGTCTGAACAAAATGAACATGTAGATATTTACGGGACTTATAAGTACCTTAATTTTTTAGAGTTCAATAAAAAACCTGAGGTTAATAATGTCCAATACAAAATTATGACTATCTTTTCATAATTTTGAAGAATATTCAGCTGTCTTCCTAAACACTGTTTCATTTAAAATTAATCAATATCTTCAATACTTTTTGTGATTTTATATAAAAAGCAGGAAATGGAGACAGTTTAAAATGATAACCTACTTGTTATTAAAGAGGGGAAACCCAAGTACCATCTAAGTTGTTGGTTCATGTGTGAATTCCTCAATTCTTTCTTAATTTGTAAGTTTTCTACCAAATATACAAATAAATAAATTCAAAACATAATAAAATTAACTGGCTACTTAATACCTGGTCATGAAGACACAGAAAAAGGTAAAACTTATGATAATTATGTTTGAATGCTGTCTTAATATTTTAAATAGTATCTACTCTACTACTGCATAATCTCCTTGTCGATATTGTCCATACTACAATTTTCATATATTCTTATTTGAAATAATGTTTTATCTCTTAATGTCATTCATATGTTTAATAATTTAAAATGCATATGAGGTGACTAAACAATGAGAACAAGATTTCTTAATAACTAAAATATATCAAATAATTTGCAAATCAATATGGTAGAAGTCATATTTATTGAAAAACATTAATATCTTTTCTATAAAATTTGTAACAGGAATATTTGCTGAATGTTTATTTTGATGCAGAAACCTGAATGTTACATACCAAGTACAAGACAGTAGCACTAGTTTTCCTTTATTTACATCTTATGAAAATTGTTATGCAGTCCATGTTAAAAGAACTTATGATGGAGAATTGTTACATTAGAAAAATAATATTCTTGATAAAGCATTCTCAAGGAGTCCAATCATAGTTTCTGCCTCTTCAAAAAAGGCAAAAGTCCCTGGAACAGCATATAACTTAATTTATAAAATACAATAACTGTTCAGACACATATTCAAGTTTTCTTTTGGTATTATTCCTCACTGTAAAATTACTTTTGTTGATTTTTTTAACTTAAACAGAAAGACTTTTCCGGAAAATGTCACTTAATGATTTCAGCTATACATTACATACACAACTCTGTAGCCTAGCAACCACCATCGCTACACCATCATTAACTTTAAATATTTTGCTTGGTGAGCTATTAAAAAATGTAACCTATTTTAAGATTTTGCCATTATTATGACCGTGGAATCATTGTCTGGTTTTCATAGGAAACAGATCTGTCACAGTATGAAGCTTTGTTTAGTTTAAGGAACTGGTACACAATTACATGTCCACTCACGAGAGAACACCACAGATGTAACTGAAGTCAGGCTTTGATGGCTCTGCACAGGTCCTGCATTGGACAGCCCCAACCCTCCTCTCACACTGCATAGCCCTAGCTGGGTTCAGACTGTTTCAATTCCAGAGGTTTCTTGTTCTTCACAGTTAGGTAGTTTTAATTCCTTCAAAGGCACACAACTTCCATCTCTTTTCCAGCGTTGCTCCCACACCTGTAAATTCTTGCTTGAACATTCGCGGCAGCCTCATCAAAAGCATTTCAATCTCGTTGGCAGATATCTGTGAGAAAGGAGAAGTCACTTGTGGGAAGGGAGCTCATCTTAAAGCAGGGTTGGGTAAGGAGAACCTGCTTTCACAGTAAGACCAACATTTAGTTTTCTACTTGGCTGTCAAGCAATGTCCTTATGAGAGTGTGTGTAAAGGGCTGAGTGCGATGATGCCATCTGTTGAGCAGCTGGCAGGGTGGAGGATGAGATGAATGGACCAAGGTTCTGGGTTTGCTCTTCATGAGAATGGCTGCTATCTAGGCAGAGCCAGGCCAGGACAGCTCTCTCTGATATAAAAGAGCTTAGAGCAAATCTCTCTTTGCCAGGATCCTCATTCCCATCTATGAAGGGCAGAAATTTTCTCTTTCTCAGCAAAGAGCAGAGGGCATTTGGGTAGATTTTTTGACATTTAAATATCTTTTCCTCTTTTTCAATTTCACAGAAACCAGAGATTGTGAAGGTTTAGGAAAGAAAACAAAATCCCAAACCCGAAGTAATAAAAATCTTGGCGTCTAGTTATAAAATCCAAGTAAATTTTTAGTGCAGTATTTTTTCTCAGAAATCTTTACAGGAATTTTTACACCAATAGTTAATTTTAATTTAAGTGAAGAATAAATAATCCACAACCCGTCCGTCTGTCCTAATATAGACATGGCTGTTGTTTTTCTATGTTTGCATCCTAATCCATGTGCATGCCTGGAGATCTCTTATAGCAAAGTGACTAATTTGTGGTATGATATTCTGTTTGAATTTTGTTCGATTATTGTTATAAGCTAAGTGGCCCTTACAAAGATACTAGTTTCTTTAAGTGTAGGCAGAGGGGTATAACATTTAATAAGTACAGTGTGTAAACTATTGGCTTAGCACAGATTTAGGTACATAGAAACACTCAATGAGTCAGAACTTTTATATTTTATCATGGTACAATCACTATAACTTTTCAGTTTATACTTTCCATTTACCAAGATTAAGACTCACTAAAAAGATACACCAAATAGATCAGAAAGCCAAATCAACTGTGTTTAATATTCACATGGGAAATATTTCAAGTATATTCAATATTCCTAGGCCTATAATATAAAACTTTAGTTAAATAGAGAACACTGAAAGTTGAGATTAATTGTATTCTAAAACTTTTGAGTGAATTAGTTTGAAATCTGAATGCATTTTCCCATAAAACCATGGTAGAAGGCGTAATAGAGTCCCAAGTCCACCCACAAAAGCTATTAAACACATTACTGAAAGGTTCACAGTGAGTCTGCCTGCAAAGTACTTCTTTCCACAGGCACTGTGCAGAGCATCTTCACCTGCACTCATTTCACTTCCCAGCACTCCTGTGAGACATACAGGGCAGACACTGAGACTCGGCTCCACTTCTAGCTGAGAGTGAGGGACTACAGGGGGCTGAGCATTTCATCAAAGGGAGAACTTGGGAGAGAGACTTAGCAAGCGGTTGCACCTTCGCACTGGTCTGCTCGAAGCCTCCCAGGTCCTAAAATGGCCCAGGCAGTGTGGGCTTCCCAGACAGAAAGCACCTGGGGCACTTTTAAAAGAGTAGCTTCCCTTGATTCTCTGGAGACCCTGGATTAGCACAACCACCCCACATAATCATGGAGACTTAAACAGGTTTAGATTTTACTCCATCCCAGGCCTCAAGCTGTGTCACCTTAGGCAGATCACTTGGCATTTGTAATGTTCAGCTTCTTCAAGTGTTTAATGGAAATGACACCCCTTTCAATGTAATTGTGAGGATTACGTGTTTAATGTAACACACTGCCTGGTACAAGCAATACCTGTCTCTGTCCATCTCTATATATAATACTGATGGAAAACAACACTCTACTACCAAAGTTTTGTTTTAGGTGGGTCAAGCTTTGTACATGGTAGCCACATGTGACAAGTGCAGAGATGTGGTCAACTCAGCATTTAGCTGGCCTACGGGGCCATTTTCAATTTATTTTTTAACTGATATATAAAGTACAAAAGACTGTACATATAAATGGTAATGCAATGTTTAGATACGTGTGTATACCTTGTGGAGTATTTACATCAGATTAAGCATATCTATTCATTTATCATTTCTTTCTGCCACAAATTCCAAATTCTTTTAGTTTCTTTTTTTAATAGGAGGTGGTTTCTATAAGCTTAATAAGGTCAAATTACCCTTTGTAGGAAGAAGGCACAGGGCTTCAACAGTGGGCTGCAGTCTTAGGTACACTGCTTCAGGGTGCCCAAGTGCCACCTCTGGGACGAGTCATCTTCCTCAGGTCAAGCAGGGGTCACCGCAAAGCAGGCAGAGTGAGGTCAGAGGGCCTACCAGCCACTAGTTTCCAGCATAAAGAGCAGGGAAGAAGCCTTGGGATACACTCAGAAGGGAGAGAAAAAGCTGCATTCTTGTGGGTAAAATAAATTTCTGAAGATAGGATCTATGCAAAAGGCAGCAGAATCAGGCCAGGCAAGCCCATCTGGCCATCCTGCAGCTAGTTATGAGAGTTCTAACAACTCATGGTCACGTAAAACGTTCTCCTAGCCAGACTCCTCTGAAAATACATCATCATTTGATTCCTCGCTCTCAGCAGATAGGGACTAGCTTATAAATGAGGAGACTAAGGCCCAGAAGTGTCGAGAGACTTGTGCAGCGTATCCCAGGGAGCAAGTGTGGGAGCAGGGCATAGGTCCAGGTGTGGCTGTGGTGCCTTGTTCTTCACTATGGATGCTGGCTAACTTCCATAAGCACTGGCGACTAGGCCACGAGGACCAGAAACAATCTTCTTGGTCAAACCTCTGTGTTCATGGATGAATGCCATGGGGAGGGAACTGTGGACAGCAGGGCCGGGATCTTGTGTGGTAAACACTTATAGAATGATGTTCACATTAACAGCAAAAGTGAAAATTCCCAGCTCTGATGGCTGATGCACACTTACATGATGATATTGGGGCACCCCTACATGAACCATTCAGGGACACAGCAGTCAAATCGGGGGAGTCTCTGCTAGCACATACTGACTAGTAAGACCAACTTGTTTTTCTTTTTTTTTTAACTAGAGCCCAGACTCCAGCCAAAAGGAAGTAGAAGGTGCTTGCAGCATGGGAGGGCTACTGCCCACCAAGACTCACTGTGACCCAGACTGCAGTCAGTGCTTTATGTACATTACTTCAGAAAGCTCACGAAACAAGCAAACATATCCCTCACTTGCAGGAAGCAATGTAGATGTAAAAGATTTGGAGTCCTGGAGCGGTTGTTGTTAACTGCCTTCCAGTGAAGTAATCAGTTGCTTAACCTCTTTAAAGGGAACTGTTTTCTCTTTTGCAAAACCAAGGGGACCAAGGGGATTACAGTGAAACTCTAGGGTTGCTCTGAAGACTTGGTCTGTGTGCCGGCCCCTCAGGCATTAGCACCAGTCCTAGGACATGCCATTCCTAATGTACCTGTCCACACCTATGGTAAAGATCTCAAGGTAGAGGTTGCCATAGGTCTTTTGCACACTTTTAAACATAAAACAGATGGCAGCCAGCACTTACGTGTTTACATGCGCCATGTGCGGTTCTGTTTCACATGTTAAATCATTCACTATGTGTCACATAAGAACCAATTTTAAAGATGGTGAAACTTAGACACAGAGATGTTAACTTATTTAAAGAAGTTGCTGAAAGTCAAACAGCTAGATTGGAAACTGGAATTTGAAGTTTTCATTATTACTTCATTTGGATAGCAATTAGCCATACTTCAGATTTTCACAAAATAAAAAATTAGCATAATGGAAACCAATCTCTGCAAAAGTAGTTAAAAGTACATTTCTGTTGGTAATGTAGGTAACATAAGGATGCCATAAAGATGTAAACATTGTAGACAGAGATGTGCCATAATTATGGAACAGACCACTTTAAATAAAATCCTATCTAAAATGCCCAGTTAATGAGGCTCTCAGCTAAATTCTAGAAACTTTCCTTAAATGTTTACATTGCATGTCAGGAGAAAGATCAAGGAGAAGACGCTTTCAGGTTAGTTTGATGATTTTTAGACCTTTCCCCTACCCTGACAAAACAACCTTTATCACATGTAACATTTTGGGATTTTCAATGAAAATTCAGCTTGTCCTTCATTTTCATTCTGTGGCCAAAGAAATTTTACTTACAGATATCTTCATTTATCTTAATTCTGCTTCCTTCTCTTATAATTTGCCAGCTCTTGTCATTTGCCTTCACAATATCCCTTACATTCCTACTAGTATGTTTTTGGTCTTGAAGGACTATCACATAAAACTAACCACCCGGACCTCACTAACTCAGCTCCAGGTGGAATTTATCCATTGCTCATTTTCAGCAGGAATTCCTTCCTGAATCACTCCAGGATCAAGGATTTTCTCTACATTCCTGCTTGTTACAGCTGGGACCCTGGGGTCTGGGGAAGAGCTGCTTCATGTCCACCTGGTGAGCAGAGGGCTAGGTCTTGGAGCAGAGATTCTGGGGCTGAATCTGGGGCTGTCCTGAGGAGTGTGTTGAGCAAATGAAAAGCCTGTATGTGCAGACAACTCTGTACAGCATTACGGTGTAGGTTAGAGATGGGTGCTGTGACTCTCCCACCGCATTTCCCATAAGCCATCTACTGCATGCTCCACAGAGTGGCAAAGGCTGTCATAAACCTGATACTCCCACTTACCTAGCTGGCTTTTGTTCCAGACAATTGGTGGCCTGTATATATTTTCAATATTTGATTTTGTCCTTGGATTCTCCCACTTCTGTTTTGTTTAAAAATTTCTAAATCTAACATTTATCCTCTTAGGAGGGACTGATTTGCTATCACTTATTTATTTATTTGTTTGTTTATTTATTTTGTTGTAGTGCTGGGGGCCTCACTTATGGTAAGCAAGTGCTCTAACACTGAGCTACAGTCCAAGCTTGACTTTCTATAATTTAAAGAAAAGATGAGAGTGGTCCATATATAACTAAGCAGCTTATGTGGCATTAGCACTGCAGAGGTAAGTTACAAGATCTCTGTGACTTGTTTTCTGA